AAGTGAGAGAGAAAGAACAAACCAAAGAGAGAGAGAGAGGAGAGAGAGAGAGAGAAAGAGCAAATAAGCCATTTATCATAGGCTCACTAAATTTAACTCATCATTTATCAAATAAAACCACAAATATCTCTCAAAACATCTATTTAAAAAACTATAATGCTTTATCCGTATATCTATAAATTGCAACTCTAATCCTAATATCATTTTTATATCGTTCACCATCACCAAGGTATTTTTAAAAACATATAGTGCACCCTGATAAAATATTAAAAATATCATATGACAAATAACTATTTACCACTGTTTATAAAAGTAAACTTATCAAACATGGTCTAAAGATTTCTACCTAGAGTTAAACTAATTGCAAAATTTAATGAACAAGCAGTTGTGAGGGCACCGGTAGGTCGAGTCGAGTACAGACTAATGGACCCATAATTCTATCAATAGATAGAAAGGCAGATAAAATTTTATTATATAAATCAAGGCTTACGAAACACCAGGATGATAACAGCGAATACGAACATAAAACTACCATAATAAATCTAATTGCTAAGCCTAATCGTATGGCAACCAAACATAATAAACTGCATAAAAGCTAATGCTATGCGAATTACATATACAGTACACAGTATTCACAATACAATATACATTATGTACACTCGTTATAATAAACCAATTTTACCAGAAAGAAATATATTTATTTATTTTATTTATATATTCTCTATACATGTTGAGTACTGTATAAGTTATAACACAAAATAATAACAATAATAATATTGCCTATTTTTGTTTGTATTTTTTCTATCCCGTTGTGCTTAATATACAGTAATATTTTCAGTCCGTTTTTAACCTTCATTATATAACTTTAAAAATATATAACACAATAGTCAACCGATTTGTTTGAGTTGTGTTTAATATGTATTATATTTGTGTATTATTAGTGTTTTTCTGTGTTAAACCATTTGTAGGCACGAGTATTACCTAAATTTCAAGGACCGGTTCCCACTCTTACATACCTGTGCCGTATAGTATGTACTGTATGTATGCATAGGCCTGACCCGCGGGTTAGAGAGAGAGAGAGAGAGAGAGAGAGAGCAAATAAACCATATATCATAGGCTACTAACTCATCATTTATCAAACAAACCACAAATATCTCTCAAACCATCTATTTAAAAAACTATAATGCTTTATCCGTTAATCTATAAATTGCAACTCTAATCCTAATTTAAATTTTTATATCGATCACCATCACCAAGGCATTTTTAAAAGCATATAGTGCACCCTGGTAAAATATCAAAAATATAACAAATAGCTATTTAAAACTATTTATAAAATAAAACCTATCAAACATGGTTTGAATATTTCTATCTAGAGTTAAACTAATTGCAAAATGTAATGAACAGGCAGTTGTGAGGGCACCGGTAGGTCGAGTCGAGTACAGACTAATGGACCCATAATTTTATCAATAGATAGAAAGGCAGATAAAATTTTATTATATAAATCAAGGCTTACGAAACACCAGGATGATAACAGCGCATACGAACATAAAACTACCATAATAAATCTAATTGCTAAGCCTAATCGTATGGCAACCAAACGTAATAAACTGCATAAAAGCTAATGCTATGCGAATTACATATACAGTACAGTATTCACAATACAATATACATAATGTACACTCGTTATAATAAACCAATTTTACCAGAAAGAAATATATTTATTTATATATTCTGTATACATGTTGAGTACTATATAAGTTATATCGCAAAATAACAACAATAATAATATTGCCTATTTTTGTTTGTATTTTTTTTTCTCTATCCCGTTGTGCTTAATATACAGTAATATTTTCAGTCCGTTTTAACCTTCATTATATTATATAACTTTACAAATATATAACACAATAGTCAACCGATTTGTTTGAGTTGTGTTTAATATGTATTATATTTGTGTATTATTAGTGTTTTTTCTGTGTTAAACCATTTGTAGGCACGAGTATTACCTAAATTTCAAGGACCGGTTCCCACTCTTACATACCTGTGCCGTATAGTATGCACTGTATGTATGCATAGGCCTGACCCGCGGGTTATGACACTTGTCTGTGGAGAGAGAGAGAGAGAGAGAGAGAGAGAGAAAAAAAAATACAAACAAAAATAGGCAATATTATTATTGTTGTTATTTTGCGATATAACTTATATAGTACTCAACATGTATACAGAATATAAAGAGAGAGAGAGAGAGAGAGAGAGAGAGAGAGAGATGTAATATATTTGTTTGAAGGGCAACAATAAATTATACACTAGTTTTTTTTACTTGTATATATAATCTGACATACAGTACCTGATTATACAATGTATGACACAAAACACAGTAAGCTGATTTAGTTTAGCATAACATAACACAAAATACAAATAACAAACAATTACATTGTTTTTTTCAATACTACATACAATATTGATTGTGTGATACATCTCAAAAATAATGACCAACATCTATCACCCATTATTCACAAAAACCAGCTTTTTATATAAGTGTTCTTAAAAAAAATCTAGCTACAAAAATAAACTAACAGCAAACTTACATTTAGTATTTTTGAGTTTATTTTTATTAGTGTTGTTCACTGTATCAGAGTATAAGTGTTTGGGATAAGGCATCTAACTTATAATAATAAGTTTACTTTACAAAACTGTAAAGTTACTTATAAATGTAAATATCATAATACTTGATAAGTTTTAAAGTTTTAATATTGGTTTAGGCTCAAACCTCGATTACATTTAATTTTAATATTAATTTTTATCTGGCACATTTAATAATTAAAATCATGACACTTTTGGTAAGTTTATTTACATAAAAATAATCAACAATATTTATTTATCAACAAATAAAACTTACTAACTTATTAATTTACATTATCAAACGCTAATAAATAACAGCAAATCACCTTGCTCATCGGCGCATTAATCACCACGATTGACGGCACGTGGAACTACGCCTACCAATACGGCTCGGGTCTAACCAACCCGGCCTACACTGTATTTAAGCCCGTGTACAGCCCTACTCAGCCCAACTATGTCATAATGAAACCGTCGTACAGCGCGCTACGGGCCGGACTCAGCGTGTTCAAACCCGTGTACAAAAGCACCCAGTACATTGCCGACTACATTCACCCTAGATCATCTTACAGCGGCCTTAGGCCCGGATATGGTGGCCATAGGCCCGCACTTATGGGCGCCAAATATGACTCGGTATTTAAAAGACCTAAACAACATGTGTCTAAGCGATCGGCACCGGGAGGTGCTGGCAATAGTGGCGCCCATATTAGCGATGATAGACTGTATAAGCGATTTGATGAGCTGTTTGCCATGCGGGTGAATCCACGATTGTGGCATGATTATAAACTGCTTAATAACCGTCATCGTGTTCAAAAATGATCATTTTAAAATTCATTATTATTATGAATATCTTATTTATTTAATTCAAAAATTTTATTTATATATTTCCATAACTACTGTATTAAATGATTTAATATTTATTAACTTAACCCGGTGTTTTGAACGAAAATATATTTAATATATTGCATCGTAATTATATACAATTGTATATTAAACATGTATTTTATTTTTACATTCAGAAAATATTCGTATTAAATTTGCTTATGTTAATTACAAATCAAATTATAAAAATTATTTTATAATATAAATACAATACAACATCTCTATATTGTAAATTAATTAAATTAATTCCACGGTAATGGTGTTTTTAATTAGAATTATTTGATCAAGCTAAATTATATAGAAACACAAAAAATTCATCATTTAACACAATTAATCACATTTGTCCGTCTCTTTAGATGAGCTTTTCGTAATCCATCCAAACTTAATTGAATTGAAATGTTGTTTATAACTAAAAATAGCATAAATTTATTATTTACAGCTATTTGTAATTTTTGAAACCAGTAATTTTTGACTGTTGTAATGAATTAAAAGCTAATTTTTAAATTACTGTTTTGCATTTAATTCAGATTATTAGTAAATATATTGCGGTATAGTAATCGACAAAAACGCATGTGTAATATATTCTGTATATTGACCGCCCCTTACAAATGATTCCTGTGTCTATATTAAATTTCTTTTAGTAATTCAAAATATAATTAATTTAGTTACTTACAATCTAGTAACTTTTAAATTACTTTCATACTGAAATAGCGTTATAGTTATTTTAACCACAATTCAGTATGAATAATGTGGTTTATAGGTAGACTAACCAGATGAGTTTATGACAATCCTGGATTTTAAGCAAAAATCAGCCCTATAATCCTGGATTCCTGGACATTTCATTAATTTTAGCTTCATTATCATGGACATAGACTTAATGTTTAAAATATTTATAAAATTCTGGACAGGCCATTTAATTCCGGGACAATCCAGGCCATTTCTGGACATCTGGTCAGTCTATTTATAAGATCGTTCGGCTCACCCTACCCCATTTTCAAAAATACTTTTGGCATGAAAGTATTAACATAAATATCTATTACTAGGATAATAGTCTACATAAAATTAAACACAGCACAATTTCGTAATAATATTTTATTTAATTCATGTTCATTGTGTTCATAATATTTATTACATTTTTATATATCATTTAATCAATGTTTAAATCCATATATTTTGTATTGTAATAGTTATCTATTATATATATATATTATTATCATTAAGTAATTGGTTAAACATAACAAACAATTGCCCAAAAACTCAAACATGTATGTAATATGTATTTTATTTAATTATATTTTTGGTGTAAATTTTATCATTTACTTTAAAAATTTATTTCATGAAATTCGCAACAATCAATACTAAGAGCGCGCGCTTACTTTCCGCCCCACGTGCGGAAACTGTCCGCTCGTTTACCACCCCATATGACAAACGCCTTGTCCCTTACGGGTGCCGACCCGGGCATACCCGGCCCCGCCCGCTTGCCCGCCCAGTTTTGAAACGTCTTGGCCGTACGCTTACGGCTACCGTCACCAGCGGGTCCGCCCTGGCGTCGACCCCCGGCTGCCGCCCGTTTACCCCCATTCGGGTTAAACCCCTTTGGCATATGGAATATGTCGTACGGATATCGGGCCCGTTTGCCGCCCCACGCCTGGTATGAGCCCCGTTTGGCCTGTTGTCGGCCCGCGTCCACCTCTACTGAAGTGCCATCAATGCTGTTGTCTTCGATGGATAGTAGGGAACGTTTTTGGAGGCGCCGAGTGTACCAGTAATCTGTGAGCATGGTGAATTAAATGCTTCTGTTATTGTCTAATTTGAGTTTGTTATACATGTAAGATTTTTATATATTATGATTGTATCGCAAACTTGTGTATTTATATTTTTAATATTTTAGATATAATTAAATTAGTTGGTTTATTTTTAAAAATACTTTATAATATGATTTTACAAAAATAATAAACATTATTTTATCCATTAATACTTCCATTTACTAATAATACAGATTAAATTGTTAATTAACAATGAATATCTAATCCCTTATGACAGCCTATAACTATAATCTTCGTATTTTGCTAAAAATGATATGTCATTTATGTTTCACTGTGGTAAATTGAAATACCATAATGTAAAGTATATAAATTACATTACAAAATTTATCTATAATTGACAACATATAACTAATTATTCTAACAAATCGTATTGTTTAATATTATTACAAATATATTATTTTTCTAGAACTACATACGTTTTGCTTTACATATTATGTTAAAAATAATATGTAATTTTTGTTTTACCAGTGTAATTTGTAAAATAATAATTGTATTAAATATTGCATAAATCTTGTTGAAATTTTACCCTCAATGAAATGTTAAATTCTGAAAAATAATTGTAGTTATGTTTGAAACTGTAATTTTTATCATAAATATAATTTAGATATTACTTTTAATTAAAATTACTTATTAAATGGTATATGAATAAAGAGTACTTTTGCAACATTTATTGAAATCTAATATTTTAAAAATATAGTAATTAAAATTGTCAATATATCATTTGTACATGTAAATAAAACGTTAATTTATACAATCTTGATGATTATTTTGCTTTAAAAAAAATCAAGCACCGTTTAACTTATCTTGAATCAAGTAGTATAATATTTGTAAATTATTCCTTAATATTATTATATTGGCATCAGTTTATAACTTTTAATTATTATTAAATATAATATATTGTTATAATTCAAATTATAATTGCAAGTAACAAAATAATTTACACAAAATAAAATAATTTACAAAATAATTTACACAAAACAAAATAAATTGCAATAAATACTATTAAATAGTTTATAAATTTAATTTTATAAAAAATTATGCTGAACACGTTAATTTATATTAAATTAAATATAATTTATAATCACAATACCAATAATAATTATCGTAACTAACTATTATAATAAAGACATCAAAATATAAATATAAAAATACCTCTAAAATCATCGATAGGTATGGAGAAGACATCGTCGACACCGGCGTTGTTATCGTTATACGTGTCGGCAGTAGTGGTGCTCGCCTTAAGCTGCAGCACATTGTCGGGCACCCGGCGGTGATCGCGATGGTGTTCACTGGCCATATGATCAGGGTAATACTCGTCGCTACTATTGGCCATCACCATGTTGGTCGAGCCACCCGTCCAACACAATTGCGTTAACACTAAGCAAATGGCTATAAAAGCGTTACATTTAACGCCCGACTGCGCGATGGGAACGGTATTTATTTTGCCGATATTCATCCCGGTGCTGCTTATGGTAATGAACGGATTCATTGTTTATAGGTGATATATTTTAAATATATTTAATTATAATCTATTTATTAATTAACTTATAATAATTGTTTGTAATACTTATGATTAAATATATGTAAATTTTAAACAAGTGTTTAGAAGTAGAAAAACTGAGAATTAGTTTTGAATAAACGCGAAACACAACAGAAAAACACAGTATTTGTGATTACTTTTGAATGTAGTTTTGTTTTTAATGACAACAAAAATTTATTAACGGATTTCAGATATAAAACTCATTTATTTCTGTCTCCCTGTCTATGAATACTATTGTAATGTATAATACATTATTAGGGGAAGTATAGGTATAGTTATATAATGAACACCACGTTATAATATAGTGTAGATACTGTGCGACGACTGGTCCGTATCTACAGATGCTATGGACTAATGGTATGAGTTTTTGTGTCACAAATTTATATATAAAAGTCTATCAAAAAAAACTTATTTTTGTATTTCGTATGTCTTATAGACTTATAAAGGGTTTTATATATAGATATAAATTCTCGCGAAGAAGTATCTCATCATTTGTTACGTAAAAACAGTCTCTCTCTCTCTCTCTCTCTCTCTCTCTCTCTCTCTTGTATCTCAAGTTAGATTGAATAATAGATTCTGTGTTAGTGTAGAATATTTGACAGAAAAACACAGTATTTGTGATTACTTTTGAATATAGTTTTTTTAATGACAATAAAAATTTATTAACGGATTTCAGATATAAAACTCATTTATTTTTGTCTATGAATACTATTGTAATGTATAATACATTATTAGGTGAAGTATAGGTATAGTTATAATGAACACCACGTTATAATATAGTGTAGATACTGTGCGACGACTGGTCCGTATCTACCGATGCTATGGACTAATGGTATGAGTTTTTGTGTCACAAATTTATATATAAAAGTCTATCAAAAAAAAACTTATTTTTGTATTTCGTATGTCTTATAGACTTATAAAGGGTTTTATATATAGATATAAATTCTCGCGAAGAAGTATCTCATCATTTGTTACGTAGAAATAACTCTCTTTCTCTCTCTCTCTCTCTCTCT